AGTAATTTATTAGCATATTTTTAAGCTAATAAAAGTTTTTGTTTGAATAGTAGTAATAGGTTTCTTATATCTATTTTTCTGGAGTATCAGGAAAATTATGAAAATATATATCGATATATATATTTTTTAATATTTTTATAATTTTTTTAATTCTTAAATAGATATAAGTAATTTATTAGCATATTTTTAAGCTAATAAAAGTTTTTGTTTGAATAGTAGTAATAGGTTTCTTATATCTATTTTCTTGGAGTATTAGGAAAATTATAAAAATATATATCGATATATATATTTTTTAATATTTTTATAATTTTTTTGATTCTTAAATAGATATAAATAATTTATTAGCATATTTTAAAGCTAATAAAAGTTTTTGTTTAAATAATAGTGATAGGTTTCTTATATCTATTTTCCCAGAGTATTGGAAAAATTAGAAAAATATTAAAAAATTTAAAAAATTTTAAAATATAAAAATATTTTTTCATAATTTTCTCGATTTTCTAAGAAAATATATATTAGAAACCTATTACTATTATTCAGACAAAAACTTTTATTAGCTTAAAAATATGCTAATAAATTACTTATATCTATTTCTCAAAGAATAGTAAAATTATAAAAATAGATTATTGGATACTACTAAGAAGACTACTAGCATTGCGAATACCAAAAATAAGCTAGCATTATTTTATTATCAGAGACTCGTATAATAAATATAAAGTAGGCTTAATTCTAGTAATCACTCTAGCAGATTATTGTAGATATTTTATTTTTAATTTATAAAAGTTTTATAATCTAATATATTATAATAAACTCTAAAAGATCAAATCAGAAAACGCTATATGCATACCTTATATTATAAGGTAAATTCAAAAAAAAAAAATCAAATCAGTATTTTTTCATTTGATAGTATTTGTATATGAACTTATTTTTCACCTGAGAAGAAGGACCTATTCTCAAATCAGTTTATCAAAAGAAATACATAATTACTATAAAAAACAAGAAGAGTTAGATAGTTTATTTTCTCAAATTAGCAACATCAAAAGTCTAATATATTTATAAATTTTCTTAAATAATTTAATATAAATTTACTTTTTAAAATAATTCATTTAAATTATCTAACATTTTTAAATAATGAGTAAAAAACAACTTGGATGTCTTAAAACTACATGTAACATATATGCTTTAAACAAAGTAGCTTGCAAAGGAATTTTTCTTTATTGTAAAAAGTAGAAAACTACTCAAAATTGCTTGTCATTACAATTTAATACACAAATATCCTATTCGAATCTATGTATTAGATGCATTCAAATTCATAAGCTTTGTAACAGTAATTATGCATTATGTTATAGATTTCCATGGCATCTTTTTTCAGATAGAGATAATATTGTTTTATCTGATAAAGATGCTATAGAAATTAAAGGTGTTCTATCATTTCAAACTTTTGACAATCCAACACCCATATCTCAACCTTTGCTACTAAATGAATCTTTATTAATCATACCTTCTATAAATCTTGAAATTAAAGAAAAGGAGACTAAAGAGTTAGCAATAATAGTTAAAATTTGTAAAGAAGGAAAACCTTATAGAGAAGTAGTAATGGAGTTGAATACTGGCTTAGATGTTACTTGGATTACCTTTGCATTATTTAATTTTTTAAAACTTAAAAAAATCATATCTGATGAAATAATTTATAGACATAGTAGGTATGAAATTCTTGTTGTTTGCAAAGCAGAAGTTATTATCAAAATTAGAAAAGTTAAATCAAAAATTATAGTTTATGTAAATAATGACATAAATTATTTAAATAGAATAATCAGCAAAGATTTAATGAAAGCAATGAATTTAAATATTTTAATTTCAAAAAGACAAATTTCTGTTTCATGTAATGAACATATTTTTAAAGCACCTTTATGTATAGACAAAAATTGTAATATTTTACAATCTTATTTATCTGATAATAAATAAAAATAGAGCAAATTATTTAATCACATCAAATCTGTACTATTTAAGTAATTTACAGAGTTATAGTTTTTAACAGTTAAAAAACCAACTAATCAAAAAGTACTTTACTAATTATTAGTCTTTGAAAATTTCTGTTAAGTTTTTTTTTAAAAAAAATTATATCTTCTTGACAATTAGCAGAAAACAAACTCAGTTTATGCTAAGCTTAGGCCATTCCAATTTGATTCTATATTTTATATAATACTAATATAATCTGCAACTCTAAATAGGAAGAGGTAAAAAATATAAGATTTTGATTAGCTAAAAAAATTTTTTGAACAGTTAATATGATTGTGACCCTCTCTATTTGAGGCTCAAAAAGAGGTTATATTAAATATAGTTTTAATTTAGCGTGGCCTTAGTATAAATAAATTAGAGTTATGCTAAACTTAGCATGAAATGAATTCACTTTATACTTAGCTTAGCATAAACCAAATTTGTTTCATGCTAATTTTAGTATAAACCAAGTTTGTTTTCTGTTAAACTTAGCATAGCTCGAATTTATTTTATGCTAAGCTCTAGTCTAAAATAACTTTTGGTTAAAAATCAGATGTTTGTTCATAAGTATAACATTAGAGATTTTGAAATTTGATTAATTTTATAGCTAGGTCAACTGAATTATTCAATAAACTGAGTTATCATCTGGGTAATATAAGTATCCTTTTTTTTTTTTGTTTATAGTTAAATTTTTTTCCTTTACTAATTTATTTTATTTTATTTTTTATAGCTTTGTCTAGTGTTTCTTGTATTATTATTGTTTGTTAATACCTTTTTCTATATTGGTTTTGTCATTTCCAATAATATTGTTTTCGGTATACTAATTATTCTTTGTTATTAGTATCATTCATTTTAGTATATCTTTCATTGCATTATTAATAGTATATTTGTATTTTAGTTATACTTCAGTTCTGAGTACTAACTTTCACATTTTCTTTTTCAGATTCTTCAGGTTAGGCTTTTGAATTTTATCGCTAGTGTTATTAGTCTATTGTATCAACTATTTTAGTACATTATTCATCTTAGTATCTTTAGTTTAGTGTTTTTTTCTTTTTCTTTATATTTTTGTCAGTATTTTAGTTCTTTGTACTAACTTTTTCTCTTTTTTAAGTAATGCATTCAGATTTCAGTTAGTTTGTGTTTTGTCATTAGTGCTAACTATTTCAGTACTTCTTTTATTACTTGTACTATTAGTTCGATCTGTCTTTTTGGATTTTGAGTAGAACTATTGTGTAGATATCATTATATTTTAGTTCTGATATAATACTGATTAAAAGTTTGAATCGTGTCATTAAAATTCATATCAGATCTAATAAAGCTATTAGTAAGTTATTACACATAAAGATCTTAATCAAATAATTGTAAAAATCTAGTTAGTTCCAGTATTATCACGCATATACTGAGCTAAGCTACAAAAAAGCTTTTTGGACTTTGGACTAGAAATTTTATAGTTTGATCTGGTCTGGTTCAATAGGAGCATATTTGAACTCATACTAGTTTGTAAACTTCAGACTGAACTCAGACTAAACTTATAATTGAGTTTGAGTTTAGTATAAAAATCATTAGACTCCAATTAGTAAACTGCAGATTAACTTCAATATTATATGATCTACTAATTTATCTATCCATGTATTTATTTATTATTTATTTCTTTGAAATTAAATAATTACATATATATAGACTCTTTAAAAAATCCTTCTGCCATCTTGGCTGTAATTTGAGAAGATGCTATCATTATTGCATGAATAGAATTATTATACATACTTATAAAATCCCTATTACGTCTAATCCAACTTTTTATAGTACTAAATGTAGTCTCTATTGGATTAAAATCTGAAGAATAAGCTGGAAAAAATTCAATATGATATCCTAACCCTCTTATTATTTTAACTAGTTCATTATCATGATGAATTTTCGTATTATCTAAAATAATAACACTATTTTTACTAGGATATGGGTTCATTAAAAGAACCTAAATTAAAAAAATATCATTAGTAGTCGAGCTTAGTTGAATTGATAAACTTAATTAACTATTATCATATGTAGCATCTTAATTTAGAACAACTAATAAAGATTAATTAATGATTAATTAATAATTATTTAATTATACGTTTGTTAATTATTTGGTTTAATTTTTAATAATTTATCTAAATCTGTAAGCGATTCTTGTTTGTTTAATGTTATACTAATGCAAGTACATTATTTGAATTAATTTTTAATCATCTATTTAAATCTAAGAGTAATTATATTTTGATTTATTTAAACCTGCAATTGATTCATCATATTTGCATAGTATACAATAAGTTTCTTCACAATTTCCTAATGCGAATATATTATCAGGATCAATTTATAATAATTGATTTAAATCTGCTAGCAATTCAAAGACATAATTCGATAATTTGTTTATTTGATGAGTTACTCTGTGACTTTTTAACATATAATACAACTTTGTATATATATTTAAAATTAAGATACTAACCACTTGTGACAATATGAACTCTGAAAATCGGTCTTTAGTGCAACTTCCTTCTATTATATCAATAGCCAGTATTCTATCTAATGATAATGCTGATAAAATAATATACCGCTTACCTCATAAAAAAATGCAACTTTTATGTGCTCGTATATTAGCTATTGCATATCCATAATATCATATAAGGCTTCATTCATCCTTTGTACTTTCATCTAAAAAGATTAACTGTTCTGGTTTATAATTCATTCCAATCTTAGCAATAAATATACTACAGACAATTTTATTTTATTCATATGCTACTTTTTGTAACTTAAATAATATTAGTTAGAACTGAAAAATATATATATGTAATTTATCATAGCAGATTAGCAGAATTTGATTTGTAGTTAAATATTCTAAATTTATAAAAATATGTACTTATTTATATATATAGCTCTCGATATAACAAACTATTAATATAACAGATATTGCTTAATACAGAGAATTATAATAGAACCAAATTATGATTTACTATAATATCTGATATATTATAAGATTTGATGCTATAGAGCTTTGAAACTATGACCTTTGTTATATTAAGAGCTACATATATTTCAATTTATATAAAAAGGTTTATCTAGTTAAATTTGATAAATATCAAATTCTGCAAATCTATCATAACATGTATAAAACTTATCAGTTTAGCTGATACTCATTTCATGAACACTAATAATTAATTCACTGACATGTTTATTTTACAGACAACTAATTCCTAGATAAGCTTATTTCGTAAACAACTTATTTCATTAACAGCTCATTTTACTAATATTATTACTATAAGAATTAGAGTTAGAGTTAGGTTAAGATTAGAGGAATTATTTGAAATTAACTTGTCAATGAAATGAGCTGTATATGAAATAAGTTGTCTATGAAATGAGCTAGTCTAGAAATTAGTTGTCTATGAAACAAATATGTCAGTAAATTGATTGTCAGTATTTATAGAATGAGTGTCAGTAAAATAAGGCACATTCAAACTTATTTAAATAATTACTTTTTTATGAGTAATTCTTATATATTTTAGTGAATAACACAATATTGGAATTGACACACATTTACCAGTTAAATTCTCTATCTTAACCACAAGTTTATCTAAGTACCAGTCAACTTTTTCTTTGACCAGATTTTTAAGAATTTTTAATTCTTCACCTGAAAATAATTTTCATCTACCTTGTGGAGCTTTAAATAGATTAACAACATATTTCCATTTATTATAAGTTTTAAGAATTCTACTAACAGTTGACTGACTTATATAAAGCATTTTAGCAATTTTTTGTTCATTGCAATTATTTGTATGATGATATACTATTCGCTAACACAAATCTTCACTTAGTATTTTTCCTATAGTTACAAGAAACGATATTTTAAAAGTTTGAATTATAAGGTTTTTTATTTTTTAATAAAAAAATTTAATAGATTTTTTTAGATAATAAAAAAAAAATTTATTACAAGAAGTTTCAAATATTTTTTTTAACAAGAAATGAAAAGACTCTGAATTTTTTGCTTGTAAACTTTTAGAAAGCTGCAATCTATATTTAATATTCTAAATTGTTTGCTTTTTTGAGAACTGTAACTTACAACATAATGCTAATAATTGTTTATCTTTTTTAGAAAACTATAACTTAACTTCTAGATTGTTCACTTTTTTGGGAGAACTATTACTATGTATTATTTCAAATTCTAATTAACTTATTTGGAAAGAAACTATAGCTTACAAATATAACCTCGTAATTATTCTTTTTTTTTTGTTAAAGAAGCCTTATAGTCAAATTTAGTAGGAAAAGTCAAAAAATATTTATATATAAATAATAAATAAAAAGAATTTATAAACAAAATAACTAAATCAAAAAGAGTAATAAAACTTTTAGTAACGGCTTCTTAATAACCTCTTAACCAAATTCTATGAAATTTTTTTATTTTAATTCTACAAATATATAGAATTAAAATATAAAAAAATTACTGAATTTGATTGAATATT